TTTTTTTTTTTTTTTTTTTTTTTTTTTGGTGCCAGGGATCAAACTTGCAAGGCAGGAGGCAGAAACCACCAAGCTAATCCCCGGTCCGCGGCCTTTTTTTTTCCCAGACAGGGTCTCTCTATGTAGTTTAGGGTGGCTTTGAACTCACTGTATAGCCCAGGCTAGCCTCAAGCACAGCAATCTGCCTGCCTCAGCCTCCCGAGTGCTGGGATTACAGGTGTGTGCCACCATACCTAGCTGGAATCTATTTTTTTTTCTAATGAATTAAATTTATTGGACTGCCGCCTGCCTCTCAAGTGCAAGGGCCCAAGTTTGATCCCCAGTACCAAAAAAAAATTTTTTTTATTAGTGCATTTTAGGTATATATAATGATCACACTCATCATAGGGAATTTGTACTTGTACACGATATATCTTGATTTTTTTTGCCCATTTCGCTACCCTCCTTTGAACTGCTCTACACCTCATTTACAAAAGCTTTGTTTCTATTTTTCTCCTTATTTTCTCATTTTTTGTTTTTTGGGGATTCTTTTTTTTCCCCAGTACTAGGGATCGAACCCAGGACTTGGCGCTTGCAAGGCAGGCATGGTGCCACTGAACTAAATCCCTGGCCCTGGAATTGATTCTTAAATCACACCCTTTCTTCTTCCACCCACTCTTGTCCCATTACTGACCCTTGAGTGCAGTTCTCGTGGCAGGGCCAACATTCATTCCGAACATCTGGGTACTTGTAGATAGGACCTTTAGCACCTAGGACTCCATGGGGGCAACTGCTCACACAGTGGGGTCCATCTCGAAAATGGGCACACTGAGCACAAGCATCAGAGCCCTGGGTAGAAGAAAGAAGGTCAGAATCCTAAAACAGGTCTCACTGTTAATTCCACACCTCCCATGAAGGACCAACCCAGCTATTTAGGAACCTCTGCAGCAAACTGTTAATGTTATCTGGCTGCTGTGGGCTGTGCTGGAGATTTGGCTGTGACTCCCTAGACACTCCAGGTGTTGGCCCTCCCCACCTTCCTTAGAGATGGGCTGCCATACCGAGCCATTGCATGTGGCAGTGCCCTCCATGGGCTGGCATTCTGGGTGACAGGAGAAGCATTCAGCTTCAGAGGCAAACTCACGAGGCTCCCTACAGTGGAGGATAAGGAAGAGGTGTCACTTCCCAACTCCCGACCTTCGAGCCTTGATCCTACAAGGAGGATCGCATTCCCACCAAGGCATATGATGAATGTTGCTCAGGGCCCATGAGGTGTCACATGAACAGATACATCCCAGGGCCCCAGCCCATCCTTCCTGATGGTCTCCTTTTACCATACCCATTCAGAAAGTTGCAGTGGGTTACACAGACACCCCCTCGACTGTAGTTTCGACAGGATAAACACTGACCAGGGCCTGGGCCCCAACATCCCCCGGAGCACAGCGGGTCACACACTTTGCCCTCTGCCACTGGAAAAGAAGGGGTAGATCAGGAGTCTGAGGACACTCAGCAAGCCCTTTCCAGAGCTCTTCCTCCTTACTGTTTCCAGCCTATCCGCTCCTCTGTCCTTGGTTCCACCCTCAGCCCAATTCTGTTTCTAGGGCAGCGCAGTCCTCACACACCTCACCTTCCCTCTCCATACCCTGCAGCCCACTCCCCTCACTCACCACAATCCCTGCGGGGCCGATTATGCTTGATGTCCAGTCTCTCTTCTGCAGGCCCCCGAAGCAGCCTGGTCCAGTTCACAGTGTGGTGGTAACAGAGCTGGCGGTTGGCACTGATGTAGACACGGCCAGCACTTATTTCCTTCAGGGATCGGAGGCCCAGGGATGTGACATTCAAGTTCTTCATGATCAATAATGAGAAGCCCCGACTGAGAATAAGGGGACAGGATGAGAAGGCAGACTACACAGGGAAAGTTATACATACAGTGGACATTTTCTCACTCAAAAATTTACTGTGGGAGCCAGGCGTGGTGGCGCATGCCTGTAATCCCAGCACTCGGGAGGCTCAGGTGGAAGGATTGTTGTGAGTTCAAGACCAGCCTGGGCTACATAGTGAGTTCCAGGTCAGTCTCAACTACATAGTGAGACCCTGTTTCAAAAAAAACTAAAAAATTAAAAATTTACTGTGGGTCCAGGCATTTAGCTCAGTGGCACCGCACCTGCCTTGCAAGCACAAGGTTCTCAGATCAATCCCCAGTACAAAAAGAAAAATTGCTGTGGGCGAGTCTTGCCCAGTGGAAGGAGCTGTTCCCCCTTTAACTTTTTCCTCACTGAACTCACAGACCCCTGCGGGTGTCGCAGGGAAGGAAAGGGTGCCCACCTCCACACCTCTTACACCTCTTACTCACTTGTAGAGACTTCTGCCCCCAATGGTTGTCAGATTGGAAAAAACACTGAAGTTGTGCATGTGTGGAGGCCAGGACTGGATGTTCAGATAACCTAAGGGGTTGGAGGAGGTGTATGAGCAGGAAGTCTCTGCTTCCTTTCTCTGGTTCTCCTGGCCCCTCCTTGTTGCTTGGGACCTGGTTTTCCCAAGCAGTTAAGATCTCCTCCCCCATCACCTGTGATCTCTCGTACTGTCCGGAACACGTTGAGCTTCTCAGGGTCTAGGGCAGGGATCTTGTGCCAAGGGTCTCTGGTGAGAAAAGTCAAAGCTGGTCAGCAAGGTAAAGGTATATAATCCAGTAGCAATGAAAACACCTTGTCTTTAAAGTTGGTTTTTCTACATGTTAATCTGTGTGTGCTGGGGGGGTGTTAGGTGAGCAGTGCCACTGAGCTACATCTCCAGCACAATGAACCTGGTTTCTAAATGCTGTTTTCCACTCAAAGCAAACAGGGCTCCTTGGAAAAATGCTGAGGTAGGGGAAATACAACATGGGCCTAGAGCTTAGGCCCTAGGGCATCCTGTGCCCAAAAGTAAGGAAGTCCTCAAAGAATAAAGGGAACATGCACCAAAACCATGGAAGCAAGCATAAAAGGGCCAAATCAGGGCTGGAGATTTAGCTCATTGGTTCCACTGCCTGCCTCGAAAGCGCAAGGTCCCAAGTTTGATCCCCAGTATCAAAAAACAACCCCAAAAAGGACCAAATCAGGGATACTTAAACACTAAAATATGAATGTGAAAGACCAAAAACTAGGCTGAGTGTAGTGGTACATGCCTATAGTCCCAGCACTTAGGAGGCTGAGGCAGGAGGATTGCTGGGAGCTTGGGGCCAGCCTGAACTACACACACAGCAAGACCCTGTCAATAAACAATAAACAAATAAATAAATAAGAGCTGTAGATGTAGCTCAGTGGTGATATCTACATAGACCAGGCTTGGGGTATTGCTCCATGGTACAGCACTTGCCCAGCAAGCACAAGGCCTTGGTTCAATCCTTAGCCCCTAAAAACACACAAAAGCAACCTTAACTTGGCTGAAGATGTAGTTCAGTGGTGGTTCAGGCTTACTTAGCATGCCTGAGATTATGGATTAGATCCCTAGCACCAAAAGATTTAAAACATGAGGACACAGCAGACAAATTCAAGATAAAGACTGTCCAACACTCACCAAAAATGTCAGTGTCATGGAAAACTAAGCAAAAACTGAGGAAGTGCTGTATGTTAAAAGTGACTAAAGAGAAATGGTAACTGAGTGTAACTGTGTGATCTACGTATGACATCAGCAGGAGAATTAGTGAAATCTGAATACAGTCTGTCGATTAGGTAATATGTATTTTCAGTGTTTATTTTTCATTCAGGCCATTGTACTTTCGTTACATAAAAAAGTTTTGTTGTGGGGCAAGGGAGTAGCTCAATGGAAGAGCACTTGCCTAGCATATATGAGGCCCTCGGATAAATTCAATTCCTAAAATTCCACACACAACAAAAAGAGAAAGAAAACACGTTCTTGTTTTTAAGGTACATGCTAAAATACAGCAGGGGTAAGGTAGTGCTGTTTCTGGAAATTCACCTTCCAATGGTTCAGAAACACAATAGCATGATTTATTGTTTGTACGTATGGAGATATATATATGTATCCATATATACATACCTACATACATATATGAAATAAGCAGGAATGGTTGCTCACGCCTATAATCCCAGCACTCTGGCAGGCTGAAGAAGGACAGTCACTAAACTGAAGCCCAGCCTGGGGAGCTTAGCAATTTAGCAACTTAGAAGAAAGAAATGATAAAATCATAGGTGGTATGTTTAACATTTAGGGAATCTCAGTAAAAAGCATATAGACGTCTTTATATCATTTTTGTGACCTTAGTTATAGAACTAAAATAATATCAAAATTAAAAATTAGCTGGGGCTGGCGATTTAGCTCAGTGGTTCTGGTGACTGCTTCGCAAGTTCAAGGACCTGAGTTCCATCCCGGTACCAAAAGAAAAAAAAAAAAAAAAAAGCTGGGTGTGGTGGTACACACCTGTAATCCCAATACTTAGGAGGCTGAGGCAGGAGGACTGCTGGGAGTTCAAGGTCAGCCTGGAATACATAGTGAGATTCTAGCATACCTGAGATTCTGGATTAGATCCCTAACACCAAAAATTTTGTCCCAAAAAACAAAACAAGAGGACAGGGATGTAGTTCAATGGTACAGCACCTGCCTGGCAAGTATAAGGTCCTGAGTTGATTCCCGATACCAAACAAAACAAAACAAAAGTAGAGAACCCCCTGTCTTAGACAGAAGCCTTCTTTCTCTCAATAAATTTTTCCTACTCTCTCAAAAAAAAAATTAAACTGAAAAGCCAGTTATGGTGGTGCACACCTATAATCCTATTACTCCAGGCTGAGATAAGAGGATTGCTGCCAGTTTGAGGTCAGTCTAGGCTACGTAGTGAGTTTGAAGCCACCTGGAACTACATAGTGAGACCCTGTGTTAAAAAAATAAATAAATAGGGCCGGGGATTTGGCTCAGTGGTTCCACTGCCTGCCTGGCAAGTGCAGGGGACTGAGTTCGATCCCTGGTACAAAAAAAAAAAAGAATAAATAAATAAATAAATAAATAAAAGCCAAGTGTGGTGGTGCAAGCCTGTAATCCCAATACTCAGAGGCTGAGACAGAAGGATTACAAATTCAAGTGTAGCCTGGACAACTTCGCAACTGGGCAAGATCATGTCTGGCAATAAAAAAATTTAAAAAGGGTGGGTATAGAACAACAGTGCAGAGACCCTGGTTCCAAAATAGAGAAAGGGGGGGCTGGGGATTTAGCTCAGTGGTTCCGCCAACTGTCTTGCAAGTGCAAGGACCTGAGTTTGATCCCCAGTACCAAGAAAAAGAGAGAGAGAAAGGGAAAAAAGCAGGTGGACATAGTGTTTCTGTGAATTTCTCCATCTCTCTGTCTCTCTTCCTCAAACACATACATTTTAAGTTTTGTCCTACGGATCAGAACGTCCCTTTTTTTCCTTTGTTGTTCCAAGCAGCAGAATTAGGGGAAACAGTTGGAAATTACAGGAAGGCATATTTTTATCTAAGTTTAGAAATAAGTTTTTGAAAACTTCAAGGAAAAAGATACATTGTCCCTGTGTAACATCACTCATCAGGATATTGCTTGTTTAAGGGTGTCCCTGAGGGCGTTTAAACCTTAGACATGAAGTTGAGTTCAGCATTTTCTCAAGTCAAAGGCAACTGTGAAGACTTTATGACTTAGATTTCTAGTCACTCCACATAGGGACAGTGCAGGCCAATAAAATGAACCCCGTGGGAGACTGAGGAGGGAGGGTAAAGTCTCTAACCCATTGAGGCCGGTGATAAGAAAGTCCAGGTTGCCCAGGATCTTGGTGCAGTTCACAAACCCATCGATGTTGCTGGAGTCCACAGTCTGGAAGTGACTCCCAGCACCTGTCCCTTCACAGGCTGCAAACACAAAAGTGACTCAGTGAGGGTAGCCTAAACAGCCTCAGAAGAAAGGATGTGTCACCATAACTCTACCATCTCCTATTCACCTTTAGGGCACAACCCTCCACAAGGCTCACACACGTTGACACCATTTTTATCTACTTCCATCTTGTCAGGAGGACAGGCCCTGACACAGGATGTCTGGTCCACCACAAAGTTATCTAGGGAAAAAAGGGAGCACCATTAGAAATGAGGGAGGAATGCTGTGTACTACCAAGGCGTCCCCTTCTTTGGGCCCTTGCACCCTCCTGCTCTGCAGTGGATTGGCCTCATTTTGCGCTGCACTATAAGTTAGAAACTCCCTTGGCTCTCCATTGCCCTTAAAGGCTTGGAAGCAGCAGCTAGAGGAAGAAGCTAAGGATCCAGTGGAGAGGTCACTCATTGAGGGAAGTCAGATGATCACCATTTGCTGTCTAAATCCACTACACAGCACCCAGCTTGATCCCTTTTTCTACCCAACCTGGACCCACTATCATTTCTTCCTCTCAGGTACTTACGGGGACAGCTGGCCACACAAACTCCTCCATACTGGTATTTGGTGTAGGGATTGGGTTCCAGTTGGAAAGTGAGTTTGTTGTACACAAGAGGCTGTGGGCACAGGGACACGCAAGCTCCACTGTCATTGAAGTGTCGGCAGGCCTGGGGACACAGGAAACTCCTGACATTCGTGGTACCTGTGGACCCTACCTCCTCCACACAACCCACGCCCTGCTTTTAGAAGCTATGTGCCTAGCAGGTGTACGTACAAAGCAGTCGGTGTCCTGAGGGCCAGAGCAGCCCCCAGCACACTCATCGTGGCAGCATTGGTTGGGGTCAGGCCCAAAGCAGTGACCATTACATTGAGGGGCACAGATGGTCTTTGTCACTATGGAGGGGAAAAAAAGCATGGCTATCAGGGCTCCCAGGACTGAATTCCAAGGCCACTACTCATCCCCATCCTCAGCACAGACACAGGCTTGGCAGGGCTGTATGAACTAGAACTTTTTTTTGTTTTTGTTTTTCTTTTTCTTTTTTTTAGTTTTTTGAGAAAGGGTCTCACTATGTAGTTGAGTCTGACCTCAAACTCACTATGTAGCCCAGGCTGGTCTTGAACTCACAGCAATCCTCCTGCCTCAGCCTCCCTCCCTAGTGCTGGGATTACAGGTGTGCACCACCTGTGCCCGGCTGAGCTAGAAGTTTTTTAAAGGGAAATTCAAACCCACATGTCTGGCAGTCCTCTGGTCCAGGTCCCCAGCAACGCCCCTTGCAGACCTCATGGCAGGGTGGACCTGGTTAGGAAGAAAGGCAACACGAGACCGTCAGGACTAAGAAAGGCTTGCTTGGATCAGCAGGGTATGATGTCAGCACACAGGAACCTCAATCCCAGGGAGCAAGAGCCAGGGCAGTGTCCCTCCCTGCCTGTGTAGAGCTGGGCTGGGCACAAGTGAGCTTGTCAACAAGGGGTGGAGCCACGCCCCCACACCACCCACTGGGCAGCTGAAGGGGAGGCACTGGGGCAAATGCCAACCTCAGACCCAGCCCCAACCAGGAACTTGATTCCTCCTGGGCAAACTGAGCCCAGTAGGAACATATGCTTGTGAAGGGGCAGGGAGCGGCAGGGTCAGTGTAAGTAGGGAGATGCTCAGTGGAAAGGGCAATGGATGTGCAGCCTAAAGATCTGGCTTCCTTGCACAGCACCCTGAGATCTCTTGCCACTTTTGCTGATACACTGTTTCTGTGGTGTGGATCTCGGGGGCCTGCCTGGGTCCCTCCTGGCAGGCTCTTGGACAGAGGGCCTGGGATGACTGTTCAGTGGAGAGGGTGCTCAGCTTAGGGATAGAATGAGGATGTTTTGGTGGGGTTGCAAGGAGCAGTCTTGATCACAGTCACTCACAGCTTCTGCCATTGTCCTTCACCACTATCTCGGCGCTGGGGTGCCTCACGATATCCCGCCAATCAATTGTGTCCATGTGGCAAAGCTTATCATTCTTCTCAATGTAAACACCCCCAGACAGAATCTCTGATGTAGGGAACAAAGTGAAAAGTTAAGGGCTATAGCACGGCCCTTCCTCTTCCCTCCCTGCCCCTAGTAGTCCAAAAGGACACCAGACACCCAGGAGGAGGGAAGTGCAGCAGACAGAGTCCAATTAGCTCCACGCTGCAGGCAAGGGCTGCCTTCTAAGAGGAGGAGTCAGGTCAGAGACACTCCTGCCTTCTCAGACACCTGTCCAGATCCCAGATCCAGTTTAGCCGGTGGAGGAGGAGAAGGGAAAGAAGGAAAACACATCTTTGACTCAATGCCCCTTCCCCCAGACCTACCCAAGTGTTTTCCAACTAACTGGGACAGGAAGCCATAGCAGGTGGCCAGGTGGCCAGGTGGGATTTAACCTTTCTGTTCCTCCAGCTTATGGTGAGTGGGGAGGGAGGAAAGGCAGCACTCCAGGGAAGGAGGGACACCAGAATACAATGCACCTTGAAGTTGGAGGCCTAGATATCAGATTCAACTCCCAACTCCAACTCCAGCCCCACCATAAGGACCTCCCCTCCTGGGGCAGATGCCCTCAGCTCCCTACGGGGCTCTTCTACTGTTTAAAGAATGGTAGACTTTGAAACTATAATGGTCAAGCAGTCTTGGGTCATCACCAAAGAGGTGCCTGTCAGCAGGATGCTGAGGGTAGGACTAGAAAAAAATCGTAGGACACTGACCCGTGAGCTGGGTAAAACGGAGCTGGCGCAGAGCGTGGCTGGAGTTGGTGTTATAGTTCAACATGACGAAGATGGCAAACTTCCCATCATAGACCTGGGTCCCCCGCACCACTCGGAGATTAGGCAATGGGAGTGTAGAGAATTCGTTCATGGCCACCAGGACATAGCCTGTCACTTCTCGAATCCACTGTGATGGAGCAGATCACATCAGTGAGACAGACAACAGGACAAAATCTCAGCCCTTTCCCGCCTTAAGGTATTAAGGAGTCCTTAACTATTTTTTGCAGTGCCAAGAATGGAATCCAGGGCTTCACACATTTTAGGAAAGCTCTCTACTCCTGGCCTTGAATCTTTAACTCATTGCCTAAGTTGGCCCCAAATTTCTGGGCTAAAGTGACCTTTCCTGCCTCAGTCTCCTCGTGGCTCCGGATTTTTTTTTTTTTTTTTTTTTTTTTTTTTTG